ACTGGCAAATCCAAACTCTTTTTCAACCCATCTTTAGACGTTGTTAGAGACAAACATTCCTAATGTCTAATTCCTAATTTTCCTCCCCATTTTGCTTCTGCGCTAATTCACTTAAAAGACAAGCTCAATGTTCTTTGTTCTTTTGTCTAGACGGTTTCGATGATAGCGGAACCCGAAACTTCTCTCGAAGACAAGCTCATTGTTCAGACCACTCTTGCTAACTACGATCATGTTATTACCGAATTTAAGACCAAGCACGGCCCACCACCACCGAAGCAGTAACTCGACTACGACTACGTACAACGTTAATGGGTTTAAAAAAAAAAACCTATTAATTATTACATATAAAATAAGGCCGGACATTTAATTTAGTATCTTTAGAACACCTCCATTTGTCAAGAACTTCTAATGGATTTCTCAAGCATTTGATATTAAATTATTAATACAATATTATTATATATTTAAATTTTGTTTTATTTAAAAAAGTTAAACCACTAAAAAATGGCACATAAGGAAAGAAGGTATCTAATGGGTTTCTAAAAGTTCTCAAATGAGAAACTGTATTTCATTCTCTTGGGACTTCTAATTTTTTTCTTTTTTATTAATAGATATTGTCTAGATATTGCTCATCCCACTGATAGAGATGCTTTTATAACTATGGATGGATTCATACTGATGTTCTGTGAACAATTCTTAGGTTCACCTCTAAGGCTGAAGCTCTCTTATTTATCCCTTCTTAATTAACCAATCAAAATTTACCATATAATCTAATTAAATAAATAAAAATAATTAATATTATCTATAAAAAACAATTTATTAAAACCCTTTCAATTGAATTAATTATAAAATCTAAACCCTAACCATTCTTTAACCCAAACCGACATATAATTTTATGTAATTGTAAAAATCTAAACTCTAACCACTATTTTATAAACTCAAACCGCCATATAATCTTATTTAATTATAAAATCTAAACCCTAACCACTCTTTTATAAACCTAAACCGACATATATTTTTGTTTAATTGTAAAATCTAAACCCTAAACATCATCTATATACCCAAACCGACATATAATTTCGTTTAATTGTAAAAATATAAATCCTAATTCAAATTTATAAATCCAAACCGATATATAATTTTGGGTGAACCCAAAAAAATTTCTATAAAGAATTTATTTGTTTATTTATTTAGATAATGTTAATTGTTTTAATTTATTTAATTAGATGACATGACAAATTCTAATTGGTTAAATAAGAGGGGTGAATGAAAGAACTTCACCCCTAGAGGTGAACCCAAGAATTGTTCATTAACTGATGTTTAAGGTTTTTACACACAAATTAAGAAAACACCAATGTTTATTTAATTTTATCTCTTTGACATAAAAAAAAACATTACCTAAAATAAATTCAACTAATAAGAAAATTTACTCTAAAATATAATTGGTTAGAAAAAAATTAAAAACACTAATATTTGCATAGAAAATTGAAACACAAAAATTCTCTTAAAACATCAGTTATAGTGATACATAATGAGTATTTTTCATGTAGATGTGTAATTTATAAAATAGAGCCTTTACACTCGTGAAACACTCATTGAATTGGAAGTTTGTAACTCTCTAAGATCCAGTTTTCCTCCCGATCCTATCCGTTACAAAGCTTTCCTTTGTTGGATGGCGTTTCATTTCTATTGTTAGGCTTCTATCAAGTTGTCCTATTCTCAGAAATTTGCATGTGTTATGATGTAAAGATGATGTCATTGTGAAAATTTACTGTGTGTAGGGTAGGAGAAACTACATGTGTTTAAAGAAAGCGGAGGAATTGCAAGAATGAAGTAGAACAAAGGAATATGACCCAAGAATTGAAATCTATGTTTTAAGGTTTAATTGTTTAAATATATAAGAGCTGTTGTGAAATTGCTACGGCAGAATACTAACCCAATAACGTAGTATGTTCAAAAAGAAATGAATCAAAATACAATCACGATAACATTTGTGACTAATAATAAACCACGACAACAAATCAGACATACGTGTTAGTGTGCTACAAAATAGACTAACAAAAGAAGTCCATAAAACCAAGGATTTTTCAAACGAAAAGCCCAACTATGAAGCCCAATAGAGAGAACCGTAATGAAAGAAAGAAGAATGATGCATGATTAATAAGTTAAAACTATGACTATCCCCTCATTGTTACTTCCACGCCAGCAAGGGCCCCCACGTTTCTTCCATAAAAAAAACGATTTGTTGATAAATTAATTATTTGTTCATTATCTGTTATATAACAGGGGACTATATAATAGTCACTTTCAACTTTGACTATATTTTTTACTCAATTAAAATTATAAAATAAAGAAAATTCTAATACGATTTTGATTCGACGGTTTATTAAGGAAAATAAGTCACTCTCATAGTTGATTGTTCTTTAGTTTACGATTGTTCTACAAGTTTGGCTTAACTTTTGTAGCCTCCTTTTGGATGTTATGTGCTTTCCCTTGTAATGACTTTTTGAGGATAATAATGATACGCCAGTTGACAAAAAAAAATTCACTTTCAACTTTATTGCACTTTCTATTTTCTAAAATTGTTAATCTTTTTCAACTTGTTGGTTTAGAAATACTTTTAATCAGATACTTTTAAAAATAAGTTCGGGTTTAGTTTGAATATTTTTTTGAGTTATTCGGTTTGGATTTTCAGTTATGTTTTTTTTGCCGAAACTAGATTATGTGTTTAACCGTGGCTATTTTTTTTGTTTTAGTTAGAATATCTTCATAAATAGAAGATATCATAAACTTAGAAATTATGACCTACAAAAGTAGTAAAAGAATTAATGCATAATAAATCATTGAAGCAAAGGCGGTTGGGTTTGTTTATCAAAGCCATTTTTATCATACCGCATCTAAACCCCTCAAAAAATTCATTTTTATAAATAGACGATTAACGTATAGAATTCTAAACTAAGGTTAGAATTTATTGGAATTTATTTCCTAACATTTACGTACTTTTGGCGTTTGCATTTATGGTTTCATTTTACGAAAAATACTTGGGTTCACCCCTATGGGTGAACATAAGAGGTTCACCCCCTTTATTTCATCTAATTAAAATATGCCACCTAATAATAATAAAAAATTTATTTAATTATAAAATTTAATTTGCCACTAAAACGAAATTATGTATCGGTTTATGTTTATTAGAAAGGTTAGGGTTTAGATTTTATGATTAAACGAGGATAACTATCGGTTTGGGTTTATAAACGAGTTTAGATTTTACAATTAAACGACGGTTTAAATGACGGTTTTGGTTTACAAAGGAGAAAATTATGGTTTAGATA